TAATAAAAAAAAGAAAATCAAAAGTAATATACATATATATACATGCAAAATAGGAAATATATAAATATATATATATAATAACACTAATAAAAAAAACATATATACATATAGAATAAAATTAATAGGAAACATATATACATACAAGAATAATAAAGTAGGAAAAAATGATTTAGGGGGAGAATTAAATATTTTAAAAAATGAACACGCCTCGGGGGTGGATCTAGGTTCGAAACTTCGAAATCCCACCCCTTTTTAGTCATCGGCGCAACCCACGTTTTGGGTTATTCGAACCAAATCTCAAGAAAAATAACGTGCACATGCGAGAAATGAACGAACCAATGTAAAAAAAGATGCTACCTTTTATTTTCTTTTCGAATCGTTTACAACAACTTTGCCTTTGTATTTTCCGTGCTTTCCTCTGTGTTTTGTGTGTAAAATCGTGTCTTACAATGGTGAGTTACAATGGCTATTTATAGTGCTTGTGGATCCTATCTTTAGGAATTTAAATAATAGTATAACTCTATCCTATTTTTAGGAGTTTGAATCCTAGCAAAATTTTATCCTATTTTTAGGAGTTTGAATCCTAAAATTCTATCATATTTTTAGGAGTTTGAATCCTAGTAGGACGAAAAATGTGTGTTGACAGTATAATATCAAATTCAAATTAAATACTCATCCTTAATTGAAACTTGAATTTAATTTAATTAGGGATAAATATTTTACGAATTAATTGCTAAATTTTATTTCGATCTCTATTAATTCATGAACTTGAAAACTTTTTTTATTTTTAGTCTGTTGATTACTAAAAATGGTCAAAAATCCAAATTTAAGATTCCATTGGAGAAAAAGTCAGGGACCAAGTTAGAAAAATGTTAAGTTTAGGGATTAAAATTTATTTAATCCCTTTTTAAAATAAATAATTTTTTTATGTTTTAAAAGCTATAGAAAAGTAATGGCTTGAAACTGATAGTACAAACCAGCAGGCCCAACGAAATTAAATTATGGCCACAGATGTGAAATAATTGGCTTAGATACTTTTAAAGTTAAAATTATTTGGGGGGTGGGGGCCTTTGACTTGCATTATAATAAAATTTAATTATAGGGTGAGTCTAAATATATTAAATAATCTATTAAACCTATCAATTTTAGTGTAATTATTATTTTTTTTATTTTTATTAAAAAAATTATCATTATGTAATCATTACTTCTTTTTTATTATTAAGTCATAATTATTTGTTTTTAAATTTTTATTATTTTTTTACTTATTTAATTATACATACATATATAATTTTATATTTTATGTTGTTTAATATTTATGTTTTTAAGTCAGTAACTGTGCCAAATTATTTTAAAAGCTTCGATGTTTGAATAATTTTATTTTTTATGTTGTACATATTAAGAAATTTTAATAAAAATTTGGACGTTACACAAGGATACTTTAAAAATATAATATTTTATTTATTTTTTATATTTCCTCTTCAAAATATAAAATCTATTAGTTAGTTTAAAATAATATTTTATCTATTAAGTTTTCTATTAAAGCATTTTTCCTTTATTTCTTCTATTAAAGTTATTTTAATCAATTTTAAACTTTTAAATTGAATTTAAATTTGAATTAGTGTTGAGTGGGGGCCGCATGTTGAGATTGCAAAACATGGAATGGGGAAGTGTTGAAGAAGATGACAAGAAGACAAGTGGAGGCCCACACCTAATTCCCCTCCCAATCATCGAAAATGGTGAGTTGAGTGTTATGCAGGTGAGTTGACTTGATACATTTAGTAGTGTTCTTAATTATATAATTGTTTACTTTTCATAGAATAAAGAATAAAATAAAAATATTTAATTATTTAATTGATTTTCAAACTTTTTTAATAATTAAATATATGTTATAAAATTGTTTTTGTTTGTGTTCACTTGGTAATTTTCCGGGCTCTTTCTTGGATTATGATTCAAAAGTTGTTTCTCTTGGTTACAAGGGTATTATGCGCATCCGTGGTCGTATGGATATCCGATCATCACTTAAAAGACGAAAGAAGTTACTCTTGACGAATGATAAGCTCCATTACGTTCGTTTTGAATATGAAAAGCTCACCTTATTTTGTTTTATGTCATGGTGAAAATTTCTGCCATGTTAAAGTTGCTGAAGGTGCAGCAAACGTTACTCGTGTTTGGGATATCTCACTCTGAGCCCCACTTCGACGAGCCACATCGTCGCCAAGCATTTGGTTGAGAGAGTCGATTGCTTAGGATTCACGTGATTCATGGGATTCTTATGGAGCAAATCGTGGTGCTAATCATGGAGCAAATGAAGCTGCCCAAAATTTAATTACATCTGACTCCACGAAATCAAATCCCACAGATTTGATGATTGGGGGTATTGAAGGAAAGTCAACCCAATTCCCTCATCTATACTCATCTTACAACATGGAACCACTTGGGCCAACTCACGATTCATGGATGTATTCATGGAACTAATTGGTGAGGACAACCCTCTTGAGCCCACTGAAGGGACCGAACGTCCAAGAGTCCAAGCTATTACATCAGGAGTCTCTCGTAAAACAGATTCAAACGATGACCCTTCTTATTCATCGGTAGGCCTTGATCTACAGGCCAACTGCTCGCAATGAAAATAATGAGTTGGAACGTCCGTGGTTTGGGGAAGCTACGGGCTGTCAGACGTCTCCGAAACAACCTGAGAGAAATTTGTCTCTAAGTTTTGTTTCTTATGGAGAAAATTACCTGCTTAACGTATGGAGAATGTCAGGAGAAGGTGTGGTTTTCATCATGGGATAGATATTGGTGCTGAGGGGTCCCGTGGTGGTTTATCTTTACGTTGGTCACAATATATTATGGTCACGCTCACTAATTTTTCTTCTTTGCATATAGATGTTACTATTTCTGTTTCAGACCAATCTAACATTTGGAGGCTCACCGAATTTTACGAAAGTCCGAGTACTAGTCAGAGGGAAATGTCGTGGAATTTACTTCGTTCTTTGGGTAATGACCAGAGTATGCCTTGGTTGGAGACTTCAAAAAAAATTTACTTGCAAGTGAAAAGAATGGTGGTCAAGCTTGTTGTACCAGACAAATGAATGCTTCTTGTTTCGCCTTGGATGTCTGAGATTTAACTGATTGGGTTATACCAGATAAATTCAAAGACTTAATTACTGCCTATGAACAAGCATCATGTCAGCTTGTAAATTTTAATAAATCTACCATTTATTTCAGCAGTAATGCTTCTGATGTTCTTGTAAATTTCATTGGTAATCTTTTCAGAGTTCGTGTCTCGACAAACCCTGAAAAATACCTTGGTTTACCGAATATGGTGGGACGTGAGAAGAAAGAGGATTTTGTTGGCTCATGTGATCAACCGAACAAGAAAATTTATAGCTGGAGTATCAAACATGTATCGATGAGAGGGAAAGAAATTTTTATTAAATCAGTTTGCAGGCTATTTCAATTTATGCTATGCAGTGTTTTTTATTTCCAAAATCTTTATGTAGAGAGATGAAGACTATTATGAACAGATTTTGGTGGCGTAATAAAGCTACAAAGAAAGAGATTCACTGGACAAGTTGGAGCATTCTTAGTTTACCAAAAACAGCTGGTGGAATGGGTTTTCGCGATCCTGCGAAATTCAATATAGCTTTGTTAGCTAAACAAAGGGTGAAACTTGATTAAAAAATCCAGACAGGTTATTGGCCAGAGTTTATAAAGTCAAGTATTACCCAAATGAAAATTTTCTCTCAGCAAGCTTGGGTTCTTACCCTTCATACACTTGGAAAGTATATGGTGCTCACGAGGCCTCCTTGAGCAAGGCTTGGGTTGGAGAATTGGTGATGGTATGTCTGCCAATATTTGGAAAGATGTTTGGATTGCAGTAGCTGGCAATGGAAAAGTCAATGGAGTGGTTCTAAATACATGTTATTCAAGGGTACTAGAGTTTATTGAGCCACAGAATCATACCTGGAAGAGTGATCTCATTGTATCTTTGTTCACAGCTCAACAAGCAATTCAAATTCTTTGTATTCCTCTCTCTTCTTGTCCATCTCCAGATTTACGTTTTTGGAGGGAAAATCCATTTGGTTTATACTCTGTCTGCAGTGGTTACAGTGGCTTATAATGCTGATTTAGGATCCTCTGGTGATCCTAATGTTATTGAGGAGACCTGGTACAATAAATTGTGTAAATCTCTCTGGTCTCTTTCTCTATCCCCCAAGATTAAAATCTTTATTTTTTGGCGTTTCATCCACATTTACTTCCCACTTCTATGAACCTGCTTTGCCATTCTAACGAAGAATCTACTACACACTTTGTGTTTTTGTGCATCAAACTCTTTTGGGATTAAATCTTTCTACCAATGATATTCGTGATGATCAAAATTTCAATTAATGGGTTGTCAACCTTTCTGAGTCTTTTTGTTCCAGTAAACAACGAAAGTTCGTAGTGATTTTATGGGCTATTTGAGGCGCCAGCTATTACAACATTGGCAGAGGAACAGAAGGATGCTTGTAAGTACATGACTACCATAACTAATACAACATTAGGTTTAGTTATTTTACTGCAGGTAATATTTGGTTTACAAAACAATTAAGTTGCCGATTTTATTTCTCTTATTTTCCATACTTCACGCTTTGTTTGATTTTGTCGGAGTTCTCAAGTCTTAGATTTTACTGCTACTACTTTTCCTTGGAAATTCTAAAAACCCAAAAGCCTCACCACTTTATCCTGCCTAATTCATAAATGGGAAGATTTTTTCTGCTTCTGTTGAAATAGCAAACGACTGTTGCTTGAACATTTTAATGTTGTGATACTTCAGGCTTGTTCTACAGTTGGTACACCTGACAAAATTGCACCAGAGGTTTTCCTGAAGTCAATGATGAGTTGGACACTCAAAATTTTGAGAAGTTTGAAGAGGTAGATTAGTATTACGATGATTATAAATATGCAGAATGGCCTGTTTATACATTTTCTTATTGCTTTCGTTTCTTTGATGCACCAGGCTGACAGCCAAATTCCATCCGCAGCAAAATCTGGTCCATGGAGAAAGGTTAGGACAATTTCATGTATTTTCAATCGACAGTTTCTTAGCCAAGTTTGCTAGGAATTTTCTTTACTGAAGTTTTCGAAATTGAATGGCACCAGCACCATTATTTTGGGGTGGCAATTTCTTTCAGTTCTTTTGTTGCACCTATACTAATGTTCTATCAAATGAATTCTTTGATGCACCTATACTAATTTTCTAGTCTATTTATTTATTTTTCCCTTTGATGCAGATGCTTTCATCCAAAGATGTAAACTTTGTGGGTTGCACACACAAGAACTTTGAAATTGTAAATGATAATCAGTTACCTGGCATCGGTATTTTTCTTCCTCGATTTAGTGTTTACGTTTGCCGCTTCTGCTTTCCATTCACGAAGTTTATCTAACTACTCAAATACTGTATGCATCTTTTTGATGATCACTGCTACATGCTTTTCTAAATCGATCTCTGTTCTCCTTCCCCGTCTAGTTATTTTGAATGTGGGCTTTATCCCCTGCAAATTTCCAACCTGGCAAATATATTTGTATTGGACTGTTTTTTTACTTGTTCCATTGCAGCTGAATTAAAGAAGAAGAGTGTTATGATTGAGGATGAAATTTAGAAGAATTTTAGGGTTTTCAGAAAGAGAGAAATTTAGATACAGAAAATGTGCTTCATTCATCAGATAAATCCTCAAAAGATCGGTACAAATTATATATCTACAGTACCAGCTGTCAAACATAATCTCTAACAAAATAACCACCCTATGCTGACTCACCATTCCCTCTTCTTTCCCCATACTCTTCTAACATACCCAAGCCCAACTTAAAAGCCCAACAATAATTAAAAGAAAATTATCATATAGACCCATTAACCCCTCATATACCTCAGCCGACTCCCCTAATCTCTTCAAATCCCAATTCCTCAAATACCTCGATCCCTAGCCTTCCAGTAAAATCCCTAATTTCCTTCGAGATTTTCCCCAATCTCTGTTGTTGCTTCCCAACTCTTCCCTTCGCGATTTTCCCCAAATCAACACGATCAAACCATAACCTTCCTGTCATCATAACAATACCCCTTTCTCCAGATGATTCTTGTCCCCAAGGATCGAACTGAGGGAATTGTTGTCTCAATACTGTATAATCCTCCCAAGTTGCCTCTGTCTCTCCCATATTTGTCCACTGAATGAGCAGTTGAATGACTGCGCGATTCTGTCTTGTAATCACTCGTTGATCCAAAACAAGGGCTGGATAAATCTTCAATTGTCCATCTGATGCGACCTCTGGAGGATCGATCGAGATAAGTCCTTTGTTCCCCACTTTTTTCTTAAGTAAACTCACGTGAAAAACTGGGTGGATCTTCGAATTTGCTGGCAACTCTAGTTTATAAGCAACTTTACCAATTCTGCTTTGTATCTTGTAGGGTCCAAAATAACGAGCAGCAAGCTTCAAATTTCTTTTGAGGGCCAGTGATGTTTGTCTATAGGGTTGAAGTTTCAGGTAAACTTCATCGCCAACTTGAAACTCCCTGTCTGTTCGATGCTTGTCACTCATCTGCTTCATTCTGTTAGAAGCTTTAAGTAATTGTTCTCGTAGTAGTGAATTTAACTGTTCTCTGTGTTGCATGACATCTTTCACTGCTTCCACCCTAGATTCTATTGTCAATGTCACATTAGGAGCTTTATACCCATATAAAGCTTCAAATGGTGTCATCTGTAAAGTAGAGTGATAGTTAGTATTGTACCACCACTCAGCCTGAGCTAACCATTTGGACCAAGTCTTTGGTTTCAAGAAACACACACACCTCAAATACTGTTCCAAGCACTGATTCAACCTCTCTGTCTGGCCATCTGTCTCAGGATGATAGGCAGTACTAAATAAAGTAGTTGAACCCAATTGCTTCATTAATTCTTGCCAAAACAGACTAGTAAAAGATTTGTCCCTATCAGAAATAGCCACCTTAGGAGGACCATGTAACTTGTAAACCTGATCAAGATAAACTCTAGCAACCTCCACTACTGTATAGGGATGAGATAATGGCATAAAATGAGCATATTTAGTGAATTTATCAATCACCACTAAAATACAATTATACTTTGTTGAAGGTGGCAATCCTTCAATGAAGTCCATTGTAATCACTTCCCAAGCATTGTTTGGAACTGCAATAGGTTGTAATAACCCTGGCTTAGAAATATGTTCTATTTTAGTCCTCTGACAGATATCACACTGCTGTATATGCTCCTGAACTTGAATTTTCATCCTTGGCCAGAAAAAATAAGACTTAATTTTCTGATAAGTAGCTTTAATACCTGAGTGACCTCCTTGTGGTGAATCATGCAAAGCCATAATTATATTCTGCCTCAAATTCCCTTTGCTGCCCACATAAATCCTATTTTTGAAATACAAGACTCCTTTCAGTAATTTCCAGTCCTGTAATTGATCTGGGTTAATAACCAGAATAGGTTTATTTTCTTGAGCTAGAGCATCTTCTTCATAACTCTTTTCAATATCTTGTACCCAAGTAGGAGTTATAACAGTAACTCCCATTTGAACAAATTCACCAGAATCCATTTGTTGTCTAGAGAGTGCATCTGCAGCTTTGTTAGACTTACCCTTCCTGTACTGAATAGTTGTAGTTAACTTCTGTTCAAGTAAATGTTTCAAGGACTCATGATTTGTTTTAATGACAAAAGAACTATTCTCTAGATAATGCCTCCAATGGGAAACTGCCATCAAAATGGCCAAATACTCCTTCTCATAGATTGAGAGATCTGTATGCTTAGGACCTAAAGCTTTACTCAAATAGGCTATAGGTCTTCCTGCTTGAGAAAGAACAGCTCCAATCCCTTTAGAACTAGCATCAGTTTCCAAAAAAATTTCTGCTCAAAATTAGGCAAAGCCAAAACTGGAGCATTACACATAACTTCCTTTAGCTTTTCAAAGGTTGTAATAGCTTCTTGAGACCAATAAAACCCATCCTTTTTCAACATATTGGTTAAAGGCTTACTCAGTTCCCCATATCCTCTGATGAATTTTCTATAGTATCTAGTTAAACCCAAAAATCCTCTTAAAGCTTTCAGATTTTTAGGCAAAGGCCACTGCTGCATGGCTTTAATTTTGGTAGGATCTGTAGCCACCCCATCAGCTGATATTAAATGCCCTAGATATTCCACTTGCTGCTGTCCAAAGAAGCACTTACTTCTTTTAGCATATAACCTGTTTTTCAACAGCACCTCCAACACTGTTCTCAGGTGTTGTTTATGCTCTGCCAAGCTAGGACTGTAAACCAAGATATCATCAAAAAATACAAGAACAAACTTCCTTAAATATGCTCCAAACAAATCATTCATTAAAGCCTGAAAAGTAGCTGGAGCATTAGTAAGGCCAAATGGCATTACTTTAAATTCATAGTGTCCTTGATGAGTCCTAAAAGCAGTCTTGTAAATATCTTCCTCCTTGATTCTAATTTGCCAATATCCAGACCTCAAATCAATTTTCGAGAAGAAAGCAGCCCCATTCAATTCATCTAACAAATCATCCACTATAGGAATAGGAAACTTATTTTTAATCGTAGCAGAATTAAGTTTCCTATAATCCACACAAAATCTCCAAGTTCCATCTTTCTTTTTAATAAGTAAACATGGAGAAGCAAAAGGACTTTTACTCACCTGAATAATAGAAGAGGACAGCATCTCAGCAATCTGTTTTTCAACTTCAGCCTTATGATGATGAGCAAATCTATAAGGTCTAAGGTTTACTGGTTGTGTTCCCTGTTTAAGGACAATTGCATGATCATGTTGTCTACTAGGAGGCATTCCTCTTGGTTCTTCAAAAACTTCTTTAAACTCTTCTAATAGGTCTTCTAATGGTAAAGGAATTTCACTGCCTTCTACTTCAGCACTTAACAAATAAATCTCCCCATTCAATTCAGTGTCCTTTTCTGCTAATTTCTGTAATTTCTCACCTGTGATAGATCTGATTAATGGCAGCTTCTGAGACCCTTTTATAACTACAATTTCTCAATTCTTCTCAAAACTGATAGTTTTAGTTTTAAAATCCATCATTATAGGGCTTAATTCTTCCATCCAATCCACTCCCAAAACCATATCACTACCTCCCAAAGCTAATACTCTGAAGTCATGCTGAAAATCATAGCCTTGCATCTTCCAGCTCACCTTATTACTCTTAGCATTACTGAACAGCTTCTCACCATTAGCTACTGTGATGACTAATGGTTGGGTATGTACTAATTCAACCCCTTCCTTGGCCCATTTAGGAGTTACAAAACTATGGGTGCTGCCACTATCAATTAGCACATTAATAGGTTTTCCTTTGATAAAACCTTGGATCCTCAGGGTAGTATGTCCCACATTCCCTGTAATAGCATTAATAGAAATTTCCAAGTTCTCTTTAGCTTGATCTTCCCCCTCTCCAGTCTCTCCTTCTATTAATTCTTGTTCAACAGAATTAGTAGGTTCCTCTTCTTCCATACAGTTGAGCTGTCTCACTTTGCACTGATGTCCTGGAGCAAATTTTTCCCCACATTTAAAACACAAGTTATTGGCTCTCCTGTAATCCAATAAACTCTGTTTGATACTAGTATTAGGAGGAACTGTCTTAGGCAAAAATTCCTTATTCCCACTGCTCTGTTGAATATTTGAGGGATTATAAGAAAAAAATTTGTTAGCCACTTTATACTTCTTCCCTTCAATCTCATTAGCCAATTCATAAAGTTTTGCTTGCCTGTAAGCTTCAGATAAATTCTTGGGCTCTAACACCTTCACCTTATGCTTTAATTCTTCCTTGAGACCACTAATGAAGCTGGAAACAAAATAAGCCTCCCTCAGATGCATGTTTTGTTGCAGTAAATAGGGTTTTAGCTCTTCAAAATTTTCTTGATATTCCTCTACACTCCCCTTCTGCATCAACTTATTGAATTCTTCAATAATATCAGAATAGTTTCTGTCCCCAAATCTGTGACACAAATCAGCCTCAAATTCCTGCCAAGTAACTCTATATTTCTGCAATATATAACCATCAAACCAGGTTTCAGCCTTCCCTACTAAGTACATAGTAGTTATTTCCAGTTTTTGCTCATCTGGAATTCCAAACAGATTAAAGAACTTCTAACATTTCCTAATCTAGCCCCTGGAATTGTTACCATCAAACATTGGTAACTCCAATTTGGGTCTCTGTAACACAGCACTTGTATTCCCAAAAGGGTTTTTACAGTAGCTTCTAGTATCAACATATTCATCTCCTTCCCCCTTAGTCTCACTAGAACTACCCATCCTATTTCTTCTTGCAACTTTGAATTAACAGTTTGATGACCAGTAAACCCCACAGGTTTAGAAGCTAATATTCCTGGTTCATTCGGTTGAAAAGTATATTTCTCGTGCTCGCTAAGAACCTTAATCAAGCAGGGTTGTTTACCTCCATTTTTGTCCTGTTTCTCAACTGTTGTTGGTTGGTTCTTCACTGACTGAGGTGAATCCTTCTCCTCAGCTGCTTCATTGACCATCTGCAAGATTCTCTGCAAATACCCCCTGTTCTCAATCAATCCTTCTTCTACTGATTGAATCCTTCCTTCCAACTCAGT